CCTTGCTTGGGGTGAAATGAATAAAAAAAAGTAATTCCTGTTCATTTATCGTTTTCTTTCCTTAATATTTTCATTTTCTCACATTCTCTCACGCTCAGTATCCCTCCTTGCGTCTCAGTGGCTTTAGTGCCTCGCTTGAGGTAAAATGATTATATATATATATATATATATATATATATATATATATATATATATGATTTAATTAAGATATATGGGTAACCGCTTGGGAATACTACATACTGGAATCTTGGATGTGCAGGTGGTGTAATGGATAACGGCTGGCAATTGGAAGTCAGAGAGCCGGGTTCCAATTCCAGTCGTTTTCGTTATATTCAGTTAAACGCAAATAGTCTTCTTCGTCTCCCCAGATATGTGTTAAATAGTAGGATTAATATATAAAAAACTGTTACAAAAATATTTTCTAGTTTTAAATAACCTGATAAACGTTGATAAGTCGTAAAAAAAAACAAGATAATGAAATATATATATATATATATATATATATATATATATATATGAATGAATAATAGAAAAAACCCTTTTTATTGCTCTATATAAATAAAATACATCGGCTCCCTAACTTTACTAACTACGAACTAGGCCACAATGTGCTAATCGAGTTCGGAAAATAAAACATCCCTATAACATCTACTGGACTTGAGAAAGCTATTCTGAAAAAAATGTTTTAATAGAAAAGCTTTATAAATTTCAACCAACGTAGGTACTGGTTGCTCGGTCAGTGAACGCCGTATATTTCCAAATAGGGAAACAGCTAATATTATCATTACTATGAGAGATGACAAGAACAGACACTGCAATTTGATCAATGCCCAGTGTCCAGGGAGTGAAGAAAAGACTAATGAAGTAGCAGTAGCTCCTCGGTAAATGAATGTCATATCTTTCCTTATAAGGAAATGTCTAGTATTACTATTAACATTGGGGATGAAGAGAACAGATATTGTTAAATAATAGTTTCAGATTATTATTTTTAGTGGCAGAGTATTTGGCTCAGACGCTCTGAGGTTGACCTTTAAGGTCAGATGGTAGACAAAACAAAGGAATTCCTTTTTGATTGGTTAAAACTAGTGTGGGAAGGTTATAGAGATAGAAAGTGTTTTCGATAATTTACGTTTTACGCGTCGAAGAATGCAGACGTGTTAATTTTGTGTGCTGGGAACTTGCTCCCCAGTGGGGGTGATAGAGCGACCTCACTGGCTAGTTAGAAATGTACACGTCGAAGTGTTTAATAAGATAGATAAGTTCTTAAAATTCCCTTTTGTTGAAGTTCTCATTTTACCTTCTAACTACCCAAAGAAAAAGCAAAAAAAAAAAATCCCAAAAAAACAAACAAAAAAATAACAAGAGATCACCCGGCCTGAAGATGACAGAAAGAAGAAAGCAACATATGATCGCCTCAAGACTGTCAAACAAAAGGACCTCCCTGGAGCAGATGGGCTATACAACAATATTACACTTAGTATTTACTTGCCGATGTAGATGTAGCACAAGGTCAGTTTAATGTGGGGAGCCCGAGCGCGTGCACCTGGGCCAGGTCCCAAAATAGCCAGGCTCCCGTATCCGTCTGCTGCGCTTGCATCGATATTTCTACTGATCACCCCTCTTTAGTACATTGACGGAGGTACTGACGTGGGCAGCTGTTTCCAAGGACCGGGCACCTTTTTCAGCTGCGCTCTGTCCGAAGCAGGAAACACAATTCAGAGATAAAATGTAGTTTGTCCGTTCGAAGGCAGATACTACACTTTGATCGCACTCTGATTACCAGGTTTTAAGAAAAGCGTAACCCGAGTAGCACTGGTTGCTCGTTTAATGAATACTTAATGTTTCTTTATAAGCAAACAGCCTATATAACTATTCTTATTACCATTACGATTAGAAACGAGAACAACAAATAATATACTTGTCATTTAATCATCATCTCACGATGATGGGATATTGCATAATAAATGGGTGGGGGGGTTCAAGTGTGTGAATCTGGGTTGAGGTAAAAAATTGCCCGGTTCCTGCAACCAATGTCGCTCTGGTGTCAATATTCCACCGACCATACATCTTTGGGGCAATGAGGGAGGTGCCGCGAGATTGGGATCCCCGGGACCAGATATCTCTAATTTATTTGTTGTGTTCTATCCGAAGACAGAAACAGAATGTAGAAATAACATGACAGATACTACACTTTGATCCAACTACGAAAGTTATGAAAAGACTAAGCCTTAGAGGCATTGTCTGCTTAGTCACCGAATGTCGAATGTTTCCTGATAAGGAAACGGCTGATATTACCATTATTATATATGTAAAAGATTTCTTTCTGACGGGCTCTTAACGTTGCAGGATATTGGTGAGCACGTCTCGCAGGCTTGTTCGCTAGTGCAAATGAATTCGATTTTCATTGGATGTTCAACTAAGGCTATAGGACCCAGTTCGTCTTGCTATGCAACCGATGACCCAATTTTTCAACAAAGGCCATAGGAGCCAGTTTGTCCTGCTATGCAACCGATGACCTAGTTATTTAACCATGGCTATAGGATCCAGTTTGTCCTGCTATGCAACCAAAGTCCGAGTTTTCAGCCAAGGCTATAGGAGCCAGTTTGTCCTGCTATGCAACCGATGACACAGTAGTTCAACTAAGGCTATAGGACTCAGATAGCTGAGAATGGAGAGGGAATATATGTATTTATACGTTTCCCAACGGTATTTGCGCCTAAGTCGATATAACGAACCCGACCGCAATTCGAACTCTGCCCAACGATTTCTCGTTCCAAGCTGATATCCATTACACCACAACATTCTTCTAGTAGAACGCTTAAATTAATGTCGTCTAGAATAGTTGCCTTGAATATAATTGTAGAAACGGCAGAGGGAAGTCACGTCACGTCGGTCAGAATGTGACTGAAGTCGAGATACCAGGGCGATTACATTAGGAACCGTTCTTTGAATTGTGTCAAGAATCTCGAAATATAAACTAAATACATAATTTTGTAAGTATCTCTAATTATCCTCTTGACGTCAGTCGTAAGTCAAAGTGAAAGTTTGTGACGCCATGTCACTCAACAACTTTGATTATTTTTCATCCTCGTAAACCAGAAACTAAACTTAAATAAATTTCTTAAATGTGGGTCTTGTTAAAACAGGTTTCCTTTCATTCATTTCTAAAAGAAGACGACAGCAAAGAATTTTAACATAAAGCGTTCTAGGTGAAAAGGTGAATAGTTAATTGTTTCTCTTCGTGCGTCTAAGTAAAACATTGAAAAACATCTTGATTTATTTGACGAAAATTGATGTCAATCTTTTGGACCAATTTTCCGATATTGACAGAGGTTGATGATATAATGATTCTTATTCTATATGCTATGTCCTTTCAGAACGTTAGAGATCATGGTTCACCACAACTTCCTGTCCTTTGTAGCTCTTAGTAAATTTTAGTCTTTTTGTTATCTCTCCTAAACCTTGTTCTGTCATCCATTTAGACTAGTTCGTTCGTTCTTTTTTTTTATGTGCCGTGTCCTTTCAGGGCGTAGGCAGTGATGACTCACCACAATTTCCTGTACTTTGTAGCTCTTAGTAAATTTTAGTACTTTTGCTATCTCTCTTAAACCCTGTTCTGTTATTCATTTACACAAGCTCTCTACGTAGGTCATGCACTATTTTTCTTTGACCATCTTACATTCAGTCTGTCCTGTGAGTGTCAAATTTTCCAAACCCTTTTCCCTCATTATGTATCCTAGAAATTTCAACTGTCCCTTCCTCATGTTAAGTGTGAGAGTCCTTTTTGTTTCCATTTTCTCTAAAACTTCGTCTTTGTTCACATGTTCGGTCCATGGTATTCTCAAAATCCTTCTGTAGAATCACATTTTGTCGCTTCAAGTCCCTTCTCCGACTTTCAGGAGATTGTCCAGCATTCACTCCTTTATAAGAGGACTGATATTATATGACAGTTCAGTACTGTTGTCTTTGTTGCTAACAAAATTTTCCGTTTTCCTAATACTTTCATTAGATTTTGGAAGGCATCTTTCACTATCTCAATGGCCTTCAGATTCAATGTCGCATATTATATGAATATAAATTAATATATATATATATATATATATATATATATATATATATATATATATATATGTTACTATATATATATATGTTACTATATATATATATGTAAATAATTCTGCTTGCCCCTCCTTAGTTAGCCCGACCATTACGCCCTGCAAATATCTCATGAATAATGGACTATTTCGTTTTGATCGCGTGTAATGACATATAAGAATCACTACTTGGTTTTAGTGAAATAAGATAGAAAGAGGTGTTTTATCTCATAAGTAATGAACTGTTCGTTTTGATTGCGTGGAAAGACGGAAAAACATATCAGATACGCTACTTGATTTCAGTGAAAGAAAGAAAGAGACAAAAAAAGTGTTTAACGTCTGTTGTCAATTTCAAATCTTTTCATTTGTACCTCCTTACTTCTTAAAATATCCTTTCTCACATGTTCCGTCCATGATATTCCTGTTGCTTCAAGTTTCTTCTTCATCAGGAGACCTAACATTCACTGCCATCTCGGAGAAGTCATATAACATAAGAGTTCAGTACTTTTTTCTTTGTTTCTAATGAAATTTTCACGTTTCTTAATATTTGCTTAGGGTTTGGAAGGCACATTTCTCTATTCCAAGGCTTCTCCAGATTTGACCCTAGACTTGAAAAGGTTACGAATGTCGTTGTTGGAATGATTGATTGATTTAATTTTACGGTTTATCGACATTTTCCAGGTTATTTAAAGCCAAAAAATATTTTTAGATTGTGAACCCTTTTTGGAGTTACTAATGATTTACTAATACAATACTAATTAACCCAGAGCAAGAGGGGAGAGAGAAGAGTTGGATTCATGCCTTTCCCAAGGGTATTTGCACGTAAGTAAATATAAGGAGCCCGACTCGAATTGGAACACGGCTCAATTCCGAGCTGTGATCCATAACAAGAACGGCTCATCCAAGCTTACAGCACCTGGTATTTCCAAGCGGTTATTCATCTAGGTGCTGACTAGGCTCGACGTTGCTTAACTTCAGTGATCGTACGAGAAACGATATTTGAACGCGGTATGGCTGCAAACTGTAGTGATCAGAGAAGCAACCTCTCAAGAGGTTGTTCCAGAATGCATCAGTTCTGGACAAGAAATTGTTTGACTGGAACTTCCTCCTTACAAATGGAATAGAAAGGGAATAGGATGAGTCGACTTTGTATACGTGGACTGGCGGGTCCTAGTTGTGAAGGTCTGGATTTGTGGAACCAAGGAATGTAGTTCGCCCGAACATCTGCTAATAGCGATAGACTAGTAAGAGGCTAACAACATTTTGTCTTTGGGGAAAGTGGTGGTAGGGTGAAAAATACTTCATCACCCACTGTTGGTTGCAGGTTTAAAGTCGACGAAATACACGTTATTTATCCGACAGATTTGTTTAAAGTCAGAGAAAACAACGTTTGACGTGATATAGATATATAAAAACAAAACGACAACATACCTAATTTTGGCAGCGGATACGAAACGTTCAACATTTTGGTGTAAAAAGCTACAGTTGAGTTGAGAAGACGGAGGGCATAATTTGTTTGGTTGATTTTGTCAGGAGGGGAGAACACACGGAGCTAAATTTCAAAAGAAATAAATAGATTATTAATAATGATGATAATTCTCATTCCTCCGTCAGTTAGCAAGTGCATCATATTCTGCAATTACCTCGGATAAATAAAAGACCATACCGTTATTTGTGCGAGGAAAGAAGGAAGAAAAAGACATATCAGTGACGCTGTTTTGTTTTAAGAAAGCATATCTAATAAGAAGAATGAAAGAAAGAAAGAAAGAAGTCTGCTTTAGTGAAATAGAAATTTGTACCCTCTTACTTCTTTAAATAATTACCTGCATTTATACTTATTATTGTTATTGCAATATTTTGTCAATTTCGAACCTTTTTATTTGTACCCACTTACTTCAATTAATGGCTTGCATTTATGCTTATGATTGTTATTGCAATGTTTGGTTGACGTTGTTAATCGCAAATATTTAACGATGCCATACGGGAAATTCCATTTTAGAGTCATGGAACTCGCAAGGAGTTTATTTAAATAGGAAAACTAAAATTTTCACGGATGCTACTACTACTACTACTACTAATAATAATAATCAAAGTGAACCGGCCAGACATCGTGGCCACAAAAACAAAAAGTGTTTTCTTATTGACATGGCAGTCTCTGCAGACTGTAATGCAACTTCGAAGATTTTCAAAAAACTATCAAAACACAAGGATCTTGAAGTGGAAATTAACGTGGCGATTGGCACTGCATTTAAACTTTTGAAGATTGTAGTTGGCAGGGAAGCAAGAATCCAGAAGGGAAAATAGAACTTACGACTACATGTATTCCAACAGTAAAACAATGGGACCTAATTGACAATCTTAAGCGATTGAGGTACCAAGGAAGAAACCTCATTAGAACAGCTGCCATGAAAATATTTGCAGCAAAGACAGAGTGAAGCCCCGTCACGTCGATGAGATAATAACTGAAGTCGAGATTTCAGGTCAGGACCGATAACATTAAAGACTCTTCTTTGGATTTTGTCAAGAAAGTTTAAAACATATGATACACATATTATTTTTTAAAAATCCCAGGAATTATATGTTTGGTTCTCTAAATGTTCGCGTATTTCACAAATTTTTTTTTTATCTATCTACCGCGGATAAAGAGTTTTTAATGTATTATTAAACATTCTGCTCAGAATCACAAACGAAATTGTTGACTTTAACAGAACCTCAGAATAAGCGTCTTGGAATGCTGGAGTCTACAGCGGTTGAAAAAGTTCATGAGTTTTTAATTCTATGGCACGTAAGTATTCAAGACAAAATAATATCTATAACTGAGACATTTCTGTAATATCATCGAAAAATGTTCTTAATTTTGTGTTAAGTAAACGAATGTTATGCATTTAATTAGTATAGGGGGTTAGGTTTTTCTTTCTACATTTACGTATTTATATTTATCGAAATAAGTCAATAATTGTTATAGTCATAATAATAATTATATATATATATGTCTGATCAGTTCGATAAGGTCAAATTGGCAACTGATCTAAAAAATGACCTATAATCTGTTGTTAACTGGGGCAAAGGATGGATTGTTAATTTTAACGCCTCCAAAACGAAACTGCTCTCTATTAAGCATCTGAGCGACTCCTCTCTGCCTTCCATCAGCATGGCTGATGCTAACCTCCAGGAGTGTGACTCGTTGCGCCTTCTCAAGCTAACATTCTCGGCTGACATTAAGTGGAAAGACTATACTGAATCCATTGCTAGATCAGCTGCTAAGAAAGTTGGTTCACTGTTTCGTGCTAGACAATTCTTCTCTACGGAATCTATCTTACATATTTATATATCTACCATTCATCCATGCTTTGAATATTTCTGCCACGTAGGGCACGGTGCTCTTGTTCTCTATCTAGAGTTCCTCGATAAAATCCTAAGAAGAATCAGCAATATTGTTGGTCATAACCTGGCGCCTCGGCTCCAGTAACTTTCTCGCCGCCGTAAAGTAGCTTTTCTACAAATATTTTCATGGTAATTGTTCGGATGAGCTCTTCGCTATGGTACTTAGATTTTATGAATTTAAGCGCACTACTAGATTGGCAACTAGGTCTCACTGTTGAAATGGGTAGATCTAACCGAAAATGCTATTTTAACAGTTTCTTTTCTCGTATTTCTCGAGTGTGGAACTCTGTTTCGGCTACATAATTTCAGAGCAACTTTGTTATTCAAAAATTTAAATGCAGTGTCAATCGTTATCTACTGTCTTTTTGATTACTCTTCTATTGTCGTCGTTCCTTAATAATGTTTCTCTTTTTTTATATTCTTTCACACTCAGTAACCCCCTTGTGCTTTAGTGAATGTACTGCCTTTCATGTGTTGAAATGATCAGAAAACAAATTTAAATGCAATGTCAATCGTTATTTTTCTGTCTTCTTGATTACTCTTCAGTTGTTCTCGCTCCTCAATAATGTTTCTCTTTTTTTATTTTCTTTCACACTCCGTGACGTCTTGTGTAATAGAGACTTTATTGCCTTGCATGGGGTGAAATGATTAGAAAATAAATTTAAATGCAATGTCAATCATTATCTACTGTCTTCTTGATTACTCTTCTATTGTTTTCTCTCCTTAATAATGTTTCTCTATTTTCTTATTCTTTCACACTCAGTAACCCCTTGTGTTTTAGTGGCTTTATTGCCTTTCATGTGGTGAAATGAATACAAAACAAATTTAAATGCAATGTTAATCGTTTTTTTCCTGTCTTATTGATTACTGTTTTAATGTTCTCACTCCTTAATAATATTTCTGTTTTCTAATTCTTTCAAGCTCAGATATCCCAGTTAATTGAAGGGGACAGCTGATTCAACGTGATATGGCCGTAAGCCTGATAATTTTCAAATTAAATTAGAACAGGCGTTACATTCTTTTTACTAACTTTTGTAGATCCTGCAGCTAATAAATTTTATTCTTTGGAATTAATGCAGTATCAGATAATCAGATATATTAAATATTTTTTACTGCTACCTTTTGTTCTGCTACCTTTTCTAAGCTCGTTTGCAAACAAACTCAGGAGACTACTTCGAAAGAGAAGATAGTTGTCATAATAAATCTTTTTTTCCGGTTTAGCTGAAGTTTTGGTAGCATATCGTCTATAATGCTTAATCACAGAATTCCTGCGAGCGCAACTAATGACAAGCCTTGATGACCAGAGCTGATCTCTCCTCTCCTAATTTTCACAGCTCATTGAGGCAAAGACTGGCTGATTTCATTCTCAAAATATCCTGATGATCCTTGCCTGACAGCTGATCTCTTCTTTGACCTAATTTTCTGTTGTAAAGTAGTTTTCACAGTGGAGGCTTGTATTTCAATAAGTCGGTCCTAAAAGGGTCCGACGTACAAAACGTTAGGAGCTTGAAAATAATAGTTAATGACGCAGCAATCTAGTTGTGGTCGTTGATACTTCAATGTCCGACATCGACTGACTCACTCAAATCTAATGAGCCCAACTGGCGACCGCTACTACTACTACTACTACTTATTATGTGTGGGAGAGTCTATTACAATAGAATAGGTAATGTTCTAGTATAACATTTTCACAGCACAATGAGGCAAAGACTGGCTGATTTAATTCTCAAAATATCCTGATGATCCTTGCCTGACAATTGATCTCTCCTCTGACCTAATTTTCACAGCTCAATGAGGCAAAGACTGGCTGATTTCATTCTCAAAATATCCTGATGATCCTTGCCTGACAGTTGATCTCTCCTCTGACCTAATTTTTACAGCTCAATGAGGCAAAGACTGGCTGATTTCATTCTCAAAATATCTTGATGATCCTTGCCTGACAGATGATCTCTCCTTTGACCTAACTCTCACATCTCAATGAGTCAAAAACTTGGCTGATTTCATTCTGCAATTATTTTGATGATCCGTGCCTGGCAGCTGAGCATTCCTCTGACCTAACTCTCACAGCTCAATGAGGAAAAGGCTGACTGATTTCATTCTCCAAATATCTTGATGATCAGAGCTTGTTAGCTGATTTCTCTTCTGACCTAACTCTATCAGCGCATTGGGGGAAAACTGGCTGCTGACATTCAGTGTCTCAAAGTTCAAACTAGTAACCTTTCGCCATCACCGATCGGACCCAGAACTTTCACCAATCGTGATGAACGGACGTTCCCTCAGGGAGGCGCCGTCCCTTGAGAGCCTACGCAACCCAGACCTCAAGTGGAACCCGTACATACGATCCTTCGCTAAAGAGTAAATGGTCGGTTCTCTGTTTCATTTAAGCAAGTCCCGCAATCCTTCTGCTATTCTCTACCTTAACATGAACCAAATCAGGCCGAAAATGGAGCACTGCTGCCTTTATAAGGGCGGAAGCTTCACAGTCTTCACTTTCCACTCTCAAGAGAGTCCAAAAGCGTTTCCGCGTATTTATAGGCGACGAATTATTTTCCACTCTGTAACGTCTTTCTCAAAGACGAGACGTCCCAAGCCTCTCACAGCTCTGTCGCTATTTCCATGGCGAATGTTCGGATGAA